TAAGAGCTTTAATACAAACAACGCTTATTAACGAAAAAGTAGCCAATTGGCATTTTATTGACCACCGTAGCAGGACATTTGCTCTTCATTATCCCCAATTTGAGCATTTCCAATAGATGTGGTTTCAATGAAAATTTCTTTAATTGAAGGTGTTTTATTGGCAACCGAGACAGGAGATTAAGTAATGGCAATACTTTATCTTAAGATCGTTTGCTCAAAGATCCTTTTCAATATCGTTTTCAATCTCTTTTTGTTGGAAGTTCGCAAAATTACCATTTCCTTGCGTATCTTCGGATTTACTTACTTCATATGAATACGTGTTTAAATCTCACGTCTTCTTTGAAGCTATTATTACCAATATCTACTTATATATATATATATATATATTTCACCTAAGTATTTCGGTGCCATTTCAACACATTTCAGACCTGAATTTATTGCCAAAATATCTTGTTCCAAAAGGAATAATCATATGCTACCTATTTAAAAATCACTGCATTTGCCACAAATATGAATAAAGCTTCTTTTGCAAAGGCTTTCCACTTGACTGATTTTACCCGAAATTAAATCCACCTAAATTCTAAAATACGCAAACAACTACTTTCAACTTGAAAATCGTTGTACTAGTAAGATAGTTGGAATTTTAAAAAATAGGCCAGTTCACCTCATATGTCGAACAAGAAACGTTCTTTTATGGTTCTCCAGCTAATAGGTAACATGAGGTGTCTTTTTGGACATCTATAGAACTAGAAAACTGCAAAGTTATTTTATAACATTTTTTGTATTAAATATTTCCTAATTCAAGGAATAAATATATTAGATTAGACATATATTTAAAATTCATGAATAATTTTAGCATTATATATTCTAAATTGCATCTGAATTATTTTATTTGTAGCCAGCCTATTGTTTGTATCCAATATTGCTATAGTGATCATTATGGACAGACAATATACTGAAAGCATTACAGTACGTGAATCGACGCAATATATCCCATTGAAAGTTCTCGTTATTTAGAGAATTTATAATCCGATTCGATTGCAAGCATTTCTTAATCAAGCTAGTAAATTTTTCAATAATCGAGCCGACTAAATAGACAATTTTAAACTTTAAGCGCATTAAAATCTGGCAGTCTTGTTTTATTAATTAAATTAATACGGATGATTTTAATATAGTGGTAGTGACTGCAAATAATTATCCTCAAAGTTGTCATATTAAGTAAGAGTTCAAACAGAAGGGCTCTATTAATTGAAACAAGGCTGCTTGTGTAACTGTGAAGAAACAAGGGTTAACTTTAATGTCTATATCACTGCCTGAGTTATTGAATTTCGATTCATATAGGATAACGTTGCAATCAGGTTGTTTCGATAAAACCCATTTAATTTTTGATGGGAACAAAACATTAATGAAAATAGATGGCATGAAATGCATGCTTATAAAATCAACTGGTCAACAGTGTGACGATATGGTCTTGTTATGGCCTCATTAACTTCCGAAATAGACCACAGCTTACAAATTTCAATAATGCTAAAATGAGATTAACACAAAGGTTTTCTTTGCTCTAAATTTTTAAAAGAAAGAGTCCTAGATTTTAACATTTTATGAAAGATAGACTAAATTTATAAATAATCAATATTAATTTTTAGTTAACTTTGTCTTGACTAAAGATTGCCCATATTTATCCATGCAGTTGAGCATTGAATCCACTTTCAATATTTTTTCACTATTTTTTTAAATGCTTCCTACGCAATGATTGGACCAATGATTGCACTGAGAATTCTCTGTTTCGGATTTAAATTGTATTCTATTACCGTTTTAAAGTTATTTCTGCGTAGATAAGAAATGAAGATTAGTTCAAAGAAAAAGTCTGATTTTTACTGCAATTGGAAGCATCGGCAGTATCTAAACAAAAATGAATTAGGAGTCTCTTCCTATCGTCTCTTTCCCTTATGACAAGATAATTTGCTTGTTCACTACGTCAACAAGCAACTCGTTTAAAGCATTGAGACTAGACGGAGAGTACAAAATTGAGATATTTTTGACCACAAAATATGTCCTCAAATGAAGAAGAAGTTAACTAAGAGAAATTCTTGGACATAATGTTTTGGTGTTACCTGAGTGATAAATATCTGGAGGGGTTGTTAATGACACCACGGGTGGTGACAGACTAGAGAAGTATACTCTCAGTCTGCTCTTAAACACTATTCAATCATAACTGGATAGGAGATTTCACTGAAGTGCATAACAAAGGGTAAGTTCAATGAAAGCTCAAGAAAAGTTAGATTGAAATCATGATGACTATAATGTGAAGTCTCATCTGCTTTTTGCACAGTCACTTTTAACACTGTTCTAGTCGCGCGAGAAATGAGTTTGGCAAGGCTGATTTACTAACGTTGCTTACATTTATCATCAATCAATTGGGACGGCAAACATGTGTGAGCCTATCTAAAATTTTGCCACGTAAACTAAGACATATTGTGAACTTGTTGAGCCTATACTTAAAGTTCAGGAGGTGGCAAAACAAGCTGCAGGGCCTCTTTAACTGACAAATTTAATTTGAATGAAGATCACAGAATCAGGATTTTGGACTGATGCTGGTAAAGCACGGTAATCTTGGAGAGAAATTATGTTTGTTCGCTAATAACCAAGGTGAATCCCAGAGCACATGAAGTTTGTTACATTTTCCAATACCTATGAAAAATTAATACAATCACCTTTCATCATTGACCGTTTGAGCTAGAATTGTAGTTTGAAGCATCTTTGAAGATGTTGGTGCAAAGGCATATTTGGCAGAACTTGAAGTAGCATTTAGGAAACCAATATTTTTATGTGCTAGAAACATCAGAAGGCATTTTATCCCTAAGTTGTAGAGAATAAACGCTTATTGATTTATTTCTGCGGATAACTCTCAAACTATTCGTTGCAAAATAAAACAGATATTTTCTTGCTTTTAGCACTGTAGAACTCTTCAGAGATGGTAAACTTAGCCATTGACAATAAAAACGACATAAAATCATCCATCCAAACGGTGTAGTGGCCATCAGAGCATTGTTTTTGGCAATAATTTCCCATAAGTATATATTAATGCCTATCTTGAAAATACATTACATTCAGAAAGTTATTTGGTAAAGGCATTTGGAGATTAGCAAATTTATCAACCTAGATCTTTACACAGCACAATACAAAGGCTTGACACGGCATAAATAATTTAAAGGCTGCTATCAACACCTCTTGAACTGCCAAAATTGTCTGAAGTGAATGCGCAGTCTCTTGCAAGTGGAGCTCTTTAGCGGTTATTCTTAATAGAATTCACTATTCTAAACGCAACATCTGCAAAAAGGTACAAGATAATCTAAAAACAGTTATAAATCGCTGAAAAATGTTAGTTAAGTTTACTTATCATAATTTAAAGTGCAACTTTATTTTATAATTAAGCATGCCATGAATTTGTTAACTTCACTCCAAGTCCACTTACGCTTATATTGTCATAGGTTAACTTAATGAAATAAACTTTAAAACCAATTAATTAACAAAAAAAGTAAAAAATGTCCTTTTAAAACAAGAATTGGGCTTTCAGTAAGAATTATCTTTAGGTCAAAACGCAAAAATGTTATCAATATCGATTTAGATGAGACCTTTTTATTCCAATAAATTCCACTCAAATATATTGAAGAATGGAGTTAGAAGAAATTTGCACTAGTAATTTTACAACTCTTTAATTCTAAATGACTTGGCAGAATGACCTTAAAATAACTAAAACTAGGACTAGGGTTTTCTCTATTCTCACTTCTGTCAATTTATGGAAACCGAAAATAAGCCAAATTGCTCCAACGCTTTCGAATGAACTTTCTTCTGCTAGAAAAGGATCAAATTTAGTGGCTGTTAAGTTTTTTAAGTACACACCACACAAATAAATTAAAGACTTCTCCCACATTACTTGCTACAGTTTTATTAAGGTTTCTTCCTATTGGAGGAAATAATTGCACGATTTACTTCTAATTGGCCATTTCAAAAGAGACCATTTCCCAAAAGCAATCCCTAAAATGTAATTGAATCAGATAAAAAAGCAAAGTTCAGCTGAAATAAAGGAGATTTTCCAGGGTTAATTCTTTTTCTATTTTAATTGGTTCTATTACAGCAAATATGACATTAGTATGCTCGTTAGTTAGGCAGTGACAGGCGTAACAGTAGGGAGAGAAATAAAGACAAAGGTAGCCTTTGTCCAAAGCCTCCCTGTGTTTGAGGCAGTAAGTAGCGCATCATAATCTACCTCTTATAATCACAGAAGAAACTAGAGTGTGCTGGAGGAAATACATTTTCCTACGCTAGAGACTAGTGTGGTCATGCTTCTCTACTGAAGCGTCATTGATGTACTTCCCGTTTCATGATTGGCTACTGGATACTGAGTGGCTAGGCCAATCCCGTATGCGGACGTGAGGAGGAGAATGACTATTTGTCCAAGGAGCATGTGGGCAGTGTAGTTTTGTTGAGTTGCCTCTCAGATTCCATAAGTCATCCAATACCACTTCCATCACCTTCTGCTTCTTCTAAAATCACGTTTAATTCACTTCCTGTATCGAAGTTCTTTCTTTCTCCCTTCCGTCTTGTTCGCGTTGCTCAAAACTATAATACTTCTTTTTTGATCACGTGACTAACGTGAGGTAAGTCTCTACTGTATATTAGAGAAATGTCTTTCAAGGTACTTAACCCCTATAACTCCAGCAGAAAATTTCTGTATTTTAGTAAAAGTAAATTACAAACTGCATTTCGGCTTTCACGTTTACGATTTCACAGATTTTAAACGAAACTTTAGGCCAAATTTAAAGGCATGAACCTGGCTAGTGAGGGAACTAATACAATTAAATAGTTCACAAATGATACACTTTATGGATAATAATTCTGATGCATTCTAATATATTAAAGTTAAATATCGACTCATTAATTTGATCAGTATTGATCTATTTTTTTTATCTACTGTTAGGTGAAAACTGGACCCAACTATGCAATTCTTAAAATACCTCCTTCCATTCGTCTTCCTGCTGTCAACATCAAGGGGTGAACAGCTTCAATTTCAACTCCATTACACAGTTCGGGAAAATGAACATATTGGTTATCGAGTTGGTTACCTGAATGATGACCTCAGGCGTCAACAGACGCTCAATTTCTCCCGACTTTGCGGAGACGCAGACGGATGCAAGGATCTTCGCTATCGATTGCGAGAGCCATCCACTTATCTTGAACTGGATGAAACTACTTCCATGCTCACGACAAAATCCATTATGGATTTCGAACAACTATGCACAGCACAATGCCGATCAACCCTTGATGCCTTCCTAAGTGTCACTGTAAATGTTTGGCAGGATAAAAAAATCATTGCAGTCCTTCACGTAAGGATTCAGGTCATTGATATTGATGACAACAATGTTGAATTTCCTGAAGATATATCTCGTCCGTTTGTCCTTCGGTTGAAGGAGGTAATTTATCGCAAAGGAAAAACGATTGAACTTCCTAAAGCTGAAGATAAGGATATCACACCAAAATACTCAACTATCTCCTATCGATTGGAATTTTCCTCTTCCCAGTGGGCCTCCATGAAAATGGTTGAACTTACTGTAACTAATGACTCCAGGCCTCTACTGGTTCTAAAGGAAGACTTGGATTACGAGGAAGCTAAGGAATATGCTTTTTCTTTGGTTGCTAGTAACCCTGACATACATTCCGGTGTTCCAAAATCCATCTCTCAAGAAGCTAAAATTCCAATATTAGTTCAAGTTTTAAATATTAATGATATGGAACCTGTATTCTCGCAATCTGTTTATACAGTTGAATTACCCGAGGATGTACAGCCGGGAACAGTAATCTTTGAGGTATTTTAAAAATGATTGTGTTTTAATTTTTTTCTTTCCTATTAATAATATTATTGCTATTCTAATTTATTTATTGTAATTCGTATTGCAAAAACACGTCGAACGGTTTTGGTTAATTTCTTGCTAACCTAGTAACTATACGAGAAACAAATTGCCATTTGTTTATTTCATCAGATGAGTCAATCAAAAAAGCATAATGAAAATTTTAGACAATATTTTTGTGAATCAAAACTGTCATATGCTTGACATTCCATTTCCAAACTTTATTTATGAGCTGAATTGTAACAATTTTATTGGTAAGTTAGATGAAACTTTTTTCAAATAAATTTAAAAAAAGATAAAATTCTTTTACGGTAATAAAATTTGATGTCGCATTGTACCTTATTTAATGAGTATTACATTGTTATAATTAAATTATTACACACTACCCCAAATATATAACTTTTTTCAGTTAAAAGCCATTGATCGCGATGCAGATGCAGTGTTAACTTATTCAATTAACGCGGTCCCTGGAATGAACCAATCAACGCCGTTTGATGTGGAGCCGGATGGAAAAGTGCGTCTACAAGAGGCCTTCGATTTTGAAAAACGCGCTGATTATAATCTGCCAATCAAAGCAAGTGACGGAGAATTCACCGCATCCACCCGTTTGCATATTCGGCTTCTTGATGTTAATGATGAAGCACCAACATTTATTGTTAATCCTACTCATCTAACCGTCGAGGAAAATCAGCCACCAAATGTACTCGTAGGCCAGGTAAACGCGCTAATTGATTTATCTGTACCAACTAATTACTGCCGTGCACAAGCCGAAGCCTAGTTATTTAAAATAAAGCCAATCAATTTAAAATGATGTTTCAAAGGGTAGTAAAGAAAACGCTTTCTAAATTTTGTATTGAGTTGAGTTCCCAAATGCGAAATTCCAGATGCACATTTTAATTGCCTGTCAATGCAATGCACTCAGTGGGGGTGCACCAACGAATTTCAGCACGTACAACTTTACTTTTGATAATCCAAATTAGAAATTGCGCCACCAGTTCACGATTAGTAAGATACTCACACATAACCCATTCATAATATATAATTCGTCGCCTTTCATTTCTTTCATTTTTATTCTTACCTTTCTAACATGAGAGATATTCATTGGTAAACCCCTAACACTCACATTCATCTAATTCAGTGGTCATCAATAAATCCAACATGATAAAGTTTCCAAGATCGCTTCCACGATTCCTTCTGCTTTTATAAGAGAGAATGAAACTGGAGTAGGGAATTTTATCATTTGGGCATCCTGTCTCCCTACCTACATTTTGCATTCCACTTCTTCTATTTTCATTCTTATCCATCTTCCAAGAGAGATATTCATTATTAGTCCACCTGAACTCATATTTATTCGATTCAGTGGAAATGGGCCTTTGTGTTTCCTATTCTCAAGTCTGTTCGAATGATCGCATTAAGTTTAAAAAAATAACTATGGATTACTAATTCTGATAGGTTTGATTGCAAATGAGAAGTGAGTTCCCCAGGCCAATCGGCGAATCGTTGATATTTATTCAGTGAGAATTGGACAAACATTTTTATTTAAATAAAGTGCATTACGAATGTCACAAATATTTAAATAAATCTAACCAACTCATCAACTTTAACACAATTGACGGAAAGAGAGAGAATTAGTAAAATGAAGTATGTAGTTACAACATATATGTCTTTTTTACAATAATTGAAAGCGTTTTTAGCAAGGGAAGGGAATGTTATTTTTTTTCAAAAGAAATGATTTGTTTTTTTTGTTTCTGCTGCTCTCCCAATCAGAAATGGCCGCCAATTTCGCGTGCCAGAGACAGCATTCACCCTCGTATTAGGCTACTCCACAAGGCTCGAGTCGGCTACAGTGGCGGTTTTGTCAAAAAACACGTACCTCTTCCTGCTGATGCATGCAAATTGACCCAACAGCATTTTGGTAGTAGAGATGGGGGGGGGGTGGGTTTTCTGTTCTTTCCAAATTCGAGCGAATCGGGTAAAGGGTGGAGTTTACTTATTTTTGTTTCATATCCCACAATAGCCATTGAAATTAGTTGGGTAAAGTTTTAAAAATAACATGAAAATCTGCTTGTTCTTTTAATTGATTTCTTTTTATCAGCGCAGAAACTTTCAAATATCACATAAAGACACTTACTGAGGGTATAAGACATAATACCCCAAAACTAATATTTCTCTCTATATGACAATATTTAATATTTAATAAAATTGTTAAGGAAGCTTAAAGCACTGCCTTGTAATCAGCATGTAGATGTTATTTCTTTGTGACTTATAAATAGGAAAAAAACTGTATTTGCCTCATCAATTAGTGAGGCCTTGGCTGTTTATTATATGAATGTTAATATGCTTTTACTGCTATCAAAATTGCACTAACGAGCATGCAAATTAGAGGCACTGGATGCAATCGATGTCTAAGAAACAAGCAAAGGTTCTTGTCGGCACGCAACTCACAATATCTGCCTGGAAATTAATAAAGTTAAATTTATTATGTATCTTTTCTCAGCAAACGGTTGTAACGTTACTTTATTTTTTTTCAAGGGAATAAAAAAGTTATTTTGACGTGTTTCTCAAAACGACGTTTCGCTATCAAGCATCCGCATCTTGCGATAATAGCGGGGAAATAAAATTAAATTTAATTAACTTTTTTATGCGATGCAAAATTCGTTTTTTTCAATAATATTTTTAGCTTTTTCTAAATTTTTTTGAGACTAGCTGTGAGCTCAGTAAGCAAAGCATAAAATTTCCCATTGGACAAATTTAAAAAATTTTTATCTAATCCTAAAGTTGATTGGGATTTGCTTACATTTCTCTCAGCTTCCAATCATAATCAATCATCTTTTAGGTCGTCGTTCGAGATGCGGATACCTTTGCGGTTAACGGCTATCTGGAATGTTCAGAACCAACAGAGGACTCTGAACGCCAGCCTTTACGTTTTGAGCGTCGAGTGGTTCCAATACAGCCTCAATTACAACAGGAATCCACTACCGCTGTTCCGGAGTTGCAATTTGACCTTTATACACGCCAGAGTCTAGACAGGGAAGAGGGCGAGCCGGTACGTCTTGCTCGCCTGGTCTGCTGGGACGGGGTTGGAGGTGGCGTTGGTTTAGGGGGAGCAAGTGATTACATCTATGGTGGTGGCTCACTGACAAGCTCCAACAGTGGCCGTGTCTCTGTGCGACTCACGTCAACTCTCACCCTCTCTATTCACATTCAAGATCGAAATGATAACGCGCCTATCTTCACTCAATCTACTTTCACCGCAGAGTTATTGGAAAATAGTGACATTCGAAAAGAGATTATTCAAGTAAGATCACCTCTACTTTAACCGTGAAAGAGCGTGCTTATTTTTGCTTGAATTTGTTTGAACAAGACAATGTATTTAAAAATAGCAACTGGCAGAAAAGAAGATAATAGGTTGGGGGAAGGGAGTAGGTATTGTTAGGAAATATTTCAAAATGAAAAAGGCGTTGCTATAAAGGCTGGAAATATACATAGTGATAAATTTAAACTTTGGATAAATTAATCGGCCTCACATATGTGCTTATTGAAAAAATCAAAATTGAATCGGCACGCTTCTAACTATCATTGAATACGCGCCTGAATTATTCAAAAAAGCACCACTATCATTAGCTCAATGCTTTAACGTTTCTTGCATAATCGTAAATATAGGAAATGAGAGAAAAATTGAAAGCGTTTAGTTGGGGAAATGGAAAAAACCAACAGGGATGAAAAAATTATGGTTATTAACGGAAACAGGTGTGGCAAGCATAACCGCTCTTGTGTTATCGCGCTTCAGTTCACCCCAACCTAAATAGCATTTTCTCCGTCGAACAAATCTCCTCAAGTAAAGACAGAATAATAGGTGTACATTTTATTTGCACCGAAATTTGCTAATTAAAAAAAATGGGTGAAATTAGAATAAGGTAAAGCGAATTTAAAATAAAAACACCTCAATTAGGCATAGGTTCTCTAACCATTATTGGAATGTGAGGTCTTTAACTAAGAGTTAAGGAAAGACAAATCTTGTGTCATAAGATTTTGACAAAAATTTGACATGATACTTTTGCCTTTTTCAGCAACACTACTCTGATATTCATTTGTCGTTTGACATAGTCGCATAAAAATCAGAAAGGAATGAGAATTTCTTTCTTTGTGCTCATTGGTAAAATTATTTTAGTTTGCTTTCTAGTCGATAACTTGGACAATTTGAATAACAAAAAGAGGATCTGAACAGCAAGACTACTTGCTTAAGGTCTCTAAACATATCTCTCTTTGCACATCATGTCAAAGCATAAGTATATTTCATTAATTTGGAAGATTTCCTGATTTATACTAACGAATTAGTCTCGTCTTGGTCAAAGACCTTAAGTTCAAATACAGCATTAAGTAGAATTTCCTAATTTTTTTGGTTTAATATTGCTATATTTCGTCATTTTTCCATCGCTTCTATTGGTGTTTAACGCCAATTCTATTGAAACACGATCCGTGTAAATGAATGTATTTATTTCTAAGTTTGCACATTTTTAACAAGATTCACACTATGAGGAACCTTCTATTCTACTTCAGTTGACGTCAAAGGATTACGATACCGAGGAGAATGCCGTGACAAGGTACAGCTTGACTGACGATAGCGAAGACGCTTCTCTTTTTTATTTGAATGAAGAAACCGGTCGATTATACGCGATGACTCGTTTTGACAGGGAAACGAGGGATAATTATCAGGTAAAAATGTCATTTAGTATGTTACTTAATGAACATATATCATTTGAACTATTGGCACAACAATTACTTGCTAAATCTCCTATCATAATTGCCTTTTAAAATTAAAAAAAAGATGGATGTAAAAAATATTAATCGACTACCATTAGAAACAATTGTATATTATTACTGTCGATTAGTAACCAATTGACCATTCCTAACAAATTCTTTTGAACTATGTCAGATATTGTGTGTGCAACTAATAAGAAGGTAATCTGTCATATTTATAGAGCACTTTATGGCATTAAATCTTCCGGTGAAATTTTTAGACTAGAATGAAGTAGCCAGGAGAGCACTTTTTATTTAGATAAAATATCCTTTAATTTATTCTACTCTTAAACGAACTTCGTCTCATTTCATCTCGATATATTTTAAGCACCAGGACGGCTTCCATCTTCAAATGTCATTATTTTTTTGATTTATGACAATTGTAAAATAAAACCCCAGGACGATCAATGCAAATGGATCTTAATATTGCATGGATGAAACAAAATAGACTAAGTGTGCATTTCCCATAAATTTTGGATAAAGTCTCTGAACCTTAATGGGCACAATTTATTTCTAGGACTGCCTTTAATTAATTTACTCTAAGGCTCTCTCATCCACTGATGCACTTTTCGGGGGAACTAATTCTCTCCGATTTGTTTTGCAATTCATAGACCAGAATTAAAATTAAATGAATCTTGAAGGGCTTAAATTGACCAAAAAAAGCAAAAAGTAATCATAAAAAGGGTGGTATGCCCTACTTATTCTTAAAACAACTAGATATATGCCTCTAATATGAATGGAAATAAAATAAAATTATATTTACCTGAGGAATTTTAATTAACATAATGTGATACTTGGCTAAGGAATACATTGAGGAAAGCCCTTAGAAAACTTTTTTTCAATCAATTCGTTCCACATAAAGGCACGTCCTACTTTGGTGGCTCATTTCTAATGTGAATATGAATTATTTCTGCTGAAATTAATGAAACTATGTGCATTTTCACATTCAAAGTGGCTCAATGAATAGATTTATAACGAAGCCACAGAAATACAGTTCCAGGTGGAATTATTTCCGCTTTTATTAACAATAAAACCGATATTTTATGACTCCCTGCTAGCTGATTTTGCCTATTTATCAGAAAAAATTATCTCAAATGTACTATTATTAGCTTTACCAGTCGCATCATGAACCCGACAGATTCACAGAGACTTGATGTTAGTGCTCAAGCCGGCTTACAGAAAGGAGTGAGTAGATTATTCACTTGCCGGTGAAATCAACTCATAAAAGTGATCCCGAATTTCGTGTCATCAAAAAATGGCTAAAATTGCCTCTCTCACCCCCTCACCTCGCCTCCCCCCTTCCACCCCAGAGGTGAAATTTTTTCCGCATGGAAAAGGTGCCTACATTCAAACTGCGTTTTCATTTCAGTGAACAATAAAAAATAGTCAATGTGAGACGTAACTGAGTAGGTGCATGGTGTGAATGAACAGTGGTGGTAATAGGGAAGAAAACGAAACCTCCAAATTTGCCAAAGCTTCATCGTTGATTAACGAGAATTGGGAAATTTTCTTTAATTATTTCGAAAAATTAACTCAATTTAACTATCCTAATAATACTACTAAGGCACTGAGAGTAATTTCTTTTATAAAAACTCCTGTAAAATAGTTAAAACTGTTCATTTTGGACAAATTAATAATAATTGTTGCTACTATTGAAAAAAGGAAATACTTTAATAATTAGCACTTCAAAATTAAAGCAATTCGAAAATTGCTCCAAGTATCAAATCATCAATAATTACAAAACAATGACATATTACAATGTCAAATGCGCTCAAAAGAGAAACTTTATTCTGTTTTTAGGCTTTTAAGTTATCAAATGCTCATTTTGTTCCTTCGGATATGTTAATAAAGTTAACGAGTGGCCTTGTTTAACACAACAGGCAGTCACTATAGGCAAAAACTTTACCAAAAAGTGAAAATCTGCTTAAAGTTTTAATGTGGCAAAGCTAATATCTCCATTTTGGACCTTTAGATTAGAGCAACTCCGTACTGTTAATTAAATAAAAAATTGGGTTGTGATTTTAATGAGTAGAAAGAGATCACATTTGCAACGTTAATAGACTGATTTAAAATGTTTTCCATTAAGCTGAGCGCATTGATTTTGAAGAATGATCAGGTAAAATGCATACGTTTCAAATAAAAAAGTTGAAAGCTTGTTGAGTTCCCTCACAAAATTTGTAATTTATTGATTTAAATGAAAGTGATTTCCTCTCTTACAATGAGCTGCAAACAGGGTAGATTGAGAATTATGATAAGCACATTTTGTTCTTAAAGTTACAAAAATTCTTAAGTGCTAAATGTCGCATTTTTGAGTCCTACTTTGATATTTATACATATTGACCTCATTTCTTGGTAAGGTTGAGTCTTTACTTATGTCCTCATGACAAGTACTGCTTGTTTTACATGAAATCACTATAATTTGTTTTGTTTAATGATCGACTGTTAGAAAGCCTATGAAATGATTTTGAAATAGTCGAGAGAAACTCACAGATTTGAAAATATTTATTTATCTATATCAAATGGCAGGCGTTTCGATGGCTATCATTAGCCCTGTAGTTGACTTCAGGTTTCACAGAGAGAGTAGAACATCAAAGTGAATAAAGTCGAGAAGGGGGGACAGAAGAGTTTTTCAAAGACGAAGGTAGAAAAGGTAGAAAAAAGGTGAGGTGAGTACTGTGGTAGATGTCGAATATGACATACAGTGGGGTAATATTAGCTTGAGATTAGAAGTCAACTGCCAGTTTATAGACTTTTTGCTGTATGAGTGTACTCTGCCAAGGGTGCATCACGTGCAGGTGAGTCTATCCCACACCCCCAGATTTAAAAATATATATCATTCATCTGCTTATGGGATGTATTGGATTGACTCTCTTACAATTGGATTTGTAAGGTCACCTGGGGAGAAGACATAAATGCAGTTATTGGCCAGTCAACTATTTATGACTTATTCAAGCCTATGTTATCAAAATCACCCTGTCAATAGAGCGATCGCTTGACTTGTAAGCTTCTTCTTCCTCTCCCTTTAGTCCGGGTTGCTACAACTTTGACGAAGAACACGTTAAAGCCATAAATTCAGCTCACTTCACTTCTAACATATGCTGATTTTCTAATTAAGTTGCAAGTGGTGGCGTATGATGTCAGCCAAAACCCGTTGGAAAACCCTGGAGGAGACCATCAGACAGTCTCCACGGCCGTGGTGAACATTAAAATAATCGATATCAATGACCACACCCCGTTGATTCAAGAGGCAGGAGAACTTGCTCTCCTCGAAAACAAGGATCCAGGTTTCCTTGTTGGTCATTTGACTGCTACTGACCTTGATGATGGTCCGAATGGTGAAGTAACATTTGAGATTGTACCGGAAGATCCCCGAGCTGTTTTCAACGGACCACAACTCACTCAGGCTATAGGATTTCGGATGACGCCTAATGGCAGCATATTCTCCACACGACAGTTTGATAGAGAAGTACAGGTTAGTTGGGATTATTATATGAGCAGAAAATATGATTGTCTATCAGAGAATTTTAGGCGTTTTTTACTTGCATTTTATTTTTCCTCGGTTCGTTAATTTGCTCGCCTTAAATGCTAAAATCGGTTAACTCTTCCACCATTTTCTATGGTATGAATAGTATAAAAATGCATCTAGAGATAAAGAAAGGTATGTTTCAGTTAAAATTGAACTCAATGAGTATTCGTTTTATTTGACTTCCTTCTTTTCACGAAATAGATTTTCTTTATTCAACTTTCTATAAAACTGATAAAATTTTCTATGATCTATTCAAAGAGGATCTGCACAACTTTAAAATACGCATAGTGCAGTTTTACTGAATGATTTTTAAAAGAAGCAAGCCGCATATAGCTCATAAAAATAATTTGTTAAGTAATCTTTGCTTAACCCCAAAATATTAAATATTTTTTATCTACCCACAATGAATAAAAAGAATTTCATTTCACTTTGCCAACGGGGTATTCAGAGATATAAGTTGCTAGGCATTAAGCCCGTAGTGACAGAACAGTCACCAATGAGCTTCTTAACCTTCAGTTCAAGGTAATTAAAATGTAATGCAATAATAAATATTAAATTAGTTCGTTAAGTTGAATGGGGATTACAAAAGATTTATGTGCCCACACACACGCTCACACACAACATTAACTTGTAGTTGACCTCGACTGATGTCAGTCAATGAAGCCACCAAGATGATTTGTACAGAGTTTAGAATTATAAGAATACGAAAAGCCGCTTTTTTAGTAGGTAAGATTATTTTCAGTTGGCATGATAAGCATAAACTTTTCAAAGTGAGTTGACTTTAATTAAGCTCACTTTCTTTAGTAGAAAAAGGTGATAGGAGCAGAGCTTTTCAAAACTTTTTTTACCTGATTATTCTTGTAGTAAAATTGGATTGCTACCTTGCTACTCCATAAGGTGATTGGATACAACAATTCAATCACACTGATTTAAAAAGTAAATTATGAAGTGAAAATTAATGCCTTTGATTGCGTAACAACGGCCATGGTTTGTGTTTTTAAGGAAGGTATTTTTCCCAAAATATTCATTTTATTAGAAAAAAATAAGATTTCCAATATGTATCGTTGATTATTTTAAAGCCTAGACAGTCGTTAGAATGTGCTAATCAACAAGGTTGTTTCCTTGTATATTTTTTTGAACAAAGTTGTCTTTAAGGTCACTCACGAGTTATCGAAGTCTGGGAATTGTGGCTTTTCTAGAATGTGTACATCAATTGTAGACGAAGAGTGGGCCTTTCGTTTGTGTTCGTTGCCCTCTGCCCTTGAAAACAGGCTATCAAGCTAAGTACTCAGTTAAATTATACCAGGGATGATATTAACTGATGGGAACGAGAGAAGCAAGTTCTAAATCCTACTCAAGAAATATTTTATCATCTTAAAAGATGGGCAAATGAAAGCAGTGATATGTGAAAAGATTTCCTTCTCCTCCTTATATTTGCTGACTCAGTCGCATATGGCATTTTCACTTCCCAACTGAGAAGTACCGCAGTGAAGCGGAACATGGTTGAATAATTTATAAAAAAATATTTCGCGTGAGTTGTGAGAATACATCCTGTTCCATAAATAAGATTTAAAAATCCGTCATTCCAGTAGAAATAAATTAACAAATAATATTATGCTCTCAACTAAATTTCTCGCATCTTAATATGAACAAAACCTATATATTTATTGCCATTTTATTTGAATTATCACTTTAATAATCTGCATAATAAAAATGAGTTTCGCAGAAAATTAAACTTAAAAAGAATAATAAAGAGGAACAACTTACAGGGCTTAAATATTTGTGCTCCCACCATTAAAATTGTCATTAAAAACAGTGGCGCAAAATAACTGAAACAATTTTTTAAACTATGGAAAGCAGTTGACATCGAGTGACTGCACGTCAGGTCGCAAAATAGTGGCTTAATAAGGTGGAAATTTAAAGATCTTTATTTACACTTCGGCTTTTAGTGAAAAAAATTGTTCGCAAGGTAAGCGCAAATCAAAGGCATTGTTCAATCAGAAAGTTTGTTTTCGTAAATACCTGAGTATCTGAATGATCTGCGCAGTTAACAGGCTAAAAGAGCGGAGATAGGATGCAAGTGTTTAAGATTGACGAGCTTCATGGGCCGTTTCACTCAAGCTAAGTGCAAATTTAGAAATTGTATACTGTAAAATTGAATAAAATAATCCGTAGAGATACAATTGAGAAACGACCACCATTGAATGTACTAACTTGGAGGGCAGCAGCCATTAAATGTATAAAAAAATAATTAAAGTTATTTGGCTAAATTAAAATTATAAAAATTTAAAACTAAGTACAACACTAGCTCAGTAAACTATAAAATGTGTGCATTAGATTTTATGTCAAATGTATACATATCAATCTTCTGTTTCATTATTGTGGGCAAACCTTACCTTGATGACAAATAAAATATTATAATTGGTCTTTAGAAAGAAAAAAACCAAAATTTTTAAGCAAAGAAAATTGAATTTTATTGCCATTTCTTAATAAGAATTTTGCATTTTGAATGCAGTAAATTGCATTTTTACTTTTTCTAGCACGCTAGAGTAAAGCCGACTTATGTAATAATTTTATGCAGTTATCAAGTTTTGCTGTTTTGGATGATTTAGGGAGTTCACACACGGTTGAACAGTGATCAATTAGGATTCAAAGTTATGAACCCGAAATTTATTCCGACTGTTTATTTAATCTTACTTTAAGTCACGATACTGCTTCCAAGTTCAAGCGAATGACAAGTCACCCGACAATGCTCTCTCCTCCACTGCCCGAATTTGTGTCAACATTCTCGATGTCAACGACAATGCGCCCATCATACACTCAATTGAGGGTCCAGATGCACGTGAGTTCTAATACGAAATTTAATCAACATGCTCATGAGCGTTACCCTCGTAAAATGTTCTGATTCATGCCATTTGAATCCTCTAGAACTGAAAAGAAAAAAGAGATGAAGCAACTCAAGTTATTCACCGACTTTTGGTATGAGAAGTACTGAAATTCGTTTGAACACGTAAAGGTGTTCAATTAGACAACTTGGCCGGTGTGCTCTTTAACGGCCATTATTTATTCCAAATTGAAGGCGTTTTGATAGCAATCATTAGCCCTTTAGGTGACTTCGGGCTTCACAGAGAGAAAGGAGAGGAACAACAAGTGACAAGAAGTCGAGAGGGTGTACAGAATAACATATATATTTCAAATGGCAGGCTTTATGATATTTATCAGAATAATGATTCACAGATTTAAAATAGGCAGACAGACACAAAGGTAGAGAAAAAGGTAAGATGAGTCCCGTGAAAGTGGTTGAAAATGGCATACAGTGGGGTCCTGGTAGTTTGAAGTCAGTAGTCAACTGCCGGTTTATAGACTTTTTGCCATATGAGAATACGTTGCCCAGGTTGCAACACGTGGCGGTAAGTCTATCGCACACCCCTTAACGCCCATTGTAGTAAAGCTTAATACAATCAGTAATATTTGTAGTAATATTTGTAGTACTTAATTATCTCACTTCTTTCTACGATACTCAAGATACTGTGGTGAAAAGAAATTTGATATAAAGTATTTAAAGTGATACCAACGCGATTATTATTCTGACTTCGTTCAGACTCTAAAGTGAAATTTATGATCAGTTTCCATTGATTTATATCATTTTATATGATATTCAAGCTCTACCTACTTCTTCAATAGTCTATTTCAACCTTAGAAATTCAACGAAAACAATAATTATTGGGTGGATTCATAGGTTTCTAAAATGCGAAACAAAATTGCCCCAGTATACTTTGAGACTTATTTTTTGATTTCCCAGAGTGGTCTTCCCAGGAGACAAAATCTGGACACCTGTCTAAAAGACTTCCCATAACTTTCTTTGTGGTAATAAGAAAGAGCGAACCCTATTCTTGCAACCACATAAATTTTCTCTCTTCCTGCAGCTAAAATATCTCATGGCATTATCAGGCTGGAAGTGGAGAAGGAGGAGGGAATTTCCGCTTGCTGAGCTAAACTTAGAAAGAAAATACTTTTATCAGTTCACTTTTTTACCAAAAATACACTCTCGTTGATGATGTTCTTTTTCTGAATTTCTCTAAACAATAGGAGCTAAAGCGTGTAAACACCATTCAATGTTGCGCATAAATGAAATTTCATCTATCCTTACACGGAATGACGTCAAAATTGGCTATTTTTGCTTCCCTTTTAAAGGCTATGAAAGGGATTCATTGGCACAGAAACCCACATTCCCAGGAATGGAACCATATGATACCCAGAATTCTTTGGCTGCATATGACTTGCCGAGTCTCCGGATATCTCAGAATGAGGCTCCTGGATATTGTGTTTTATCGATGCAGGCCACTGATTTGGATGAAGGTGAAAATGCCGAATTGCGCTACGCTCTGAACAATGGTGCCAACTGTACACCACCCAATTCATCTCCTTCTAGATTTGGACACGGAATTGACGAAGAAAAGCAGGAAAATAAAGAACCGGAGTTCCGCCAGTTTCCACTTAACACATTTAGAATTGACGAAAGGACAGGAAAACTTCTGTTGGTTAGAAGACTCTCCCACAAAGAAATTGGGACTTACTGCCTTGGGCTTGTTGTCGAAGACCAAGGTCATCCTTCCTTAAAATCAACTCAGGTAAACTAGAATTAATTAATTAATTTACATTATCAATAACTGCTAAACCCCGCTAAAGCATAAAACGCATTTGTACAAATATTAATTAAGTGATGATCTAAGTGAAATTCTTTGAGGCTAACCATCAATAAGCTTAAAGACGGCTTCCAGCAGTATATAATAGAAAGCGATGAAATTTACCATTTGTGTGTGTATGGAAATACAGTTTTGTGGAAAAAAAGGATAACGATTTCTCATTGAAATTTGCACGGTTAAAACATTCTGGTAAACGATTACTAGTTCAGCAGCTCATACCAAAGATAAATCGTTTTTCTTTCGGCAAAGTAAAAAGCAAAGGTTAATTTCAAAGGTACTTGCGTCTATTTCCCTCCGAATAAACATCTCGAAATGTTATTAATGAGACGTCATATTTGAAGTCAATTGATCAAAATAAAGCAATGACCCACTCTACGGACAAATCCCTTCCAAAATAATGATCGTTCTCTTTTTCAGACAGCCTTTTAGAAGGGCGTCTTTTTTAATTCGGTCAAGCGTAATAGTCATTCAGTTTGTCTCAAGTGAGATCTAGATCTACGTTTAATCAAATATTTCAGCAGATGCGGAAACCTATTTTAACATATTAAGCCGAATGATTGGCGTTTTTTGCTATTTCCTTCATTGCAAGTGGGTGTTACAAGTGTTTAACCCAAAAATTACACAGTAGATAAAAGTGGCTCAAATGAAAGTAAGTGTTTTACTTTGTGCTTTAACTGCAATATTTTCTCAAAATATGGCCATCCAAATCCATTCCACTTCGCTGATAGAAAAGACACGCAAATAATTTCAAAATTAATCTATTAATTTGCAAACTACGAAGCTTAGATTCTCCAGGATTATCTGTAATTATTCCAATAATCCATTTGTAGCGGATTGCTACGCTAGTAAAGCCTGACCGACTCAGAAACCTTTTGGCAGATTCTCCAACATCTAGCTAGACTCGAAGAACAAGCTAAGCTATAGCCCAGCTATTGGGGAAACAGACGCGTAGCACGGAATACGTTTATTAGTTACGCATATTGATAGCGAAGAGTTTAGTTTTGGCAAATTGATTAGTTATCAGATAACTCTAGCATAATTCGTTTGAACTTTAATAGCTAAATATTACTGAGTAGTATTCTATAGCAGGATTTCTATTTGGTCATTGATGAAGTGCCCCACACATTTTCCATTTTTACTGTTGGATTGATCCCCAAAGTGTTTCAGCTATCTTTATGAGTATATTAACGCAATTTTATTTTAAATTAAGTATTTAAGAAATTTCTAGAATAATTGGTTTTGACCAGATGAATCTTTAGTCCAGATAATCATAAATAATTCATTTTGAACACACGAGAGAACAAAGTAATTTTAAATCTTAATACAAGCAGAAGAATAGCGTTGAACTAAATTAATCGATTGTATTAACTTGGTGAGCTAACACAGCAATTATGGTTTGTATATGTTTCCTAAATTTATTCATTATAAGCGAATTATTTAACTCTTTTATTACAACTGCTCTTAAGGTAAAGTCGATTAAATAATGGGAAAAATCTGATTTGCCGAATTTCATAGTTAAAGTAATCTTTCTTTAACAAAACCTGTTTAATTAATTTGTTGCGCAGTTTCTATTAGTTTCTTTAGCATCCTCTTTCACAATCAAGATTGTTTATAAAATAGATATTTTGAGTGTTCAGGTGATTCAAGCAAGATGAATAATTTGCATTGCATCTTTTGCACGCATTTAAATAATTTCTAATTCGATAAAATGGGCTGGTTCACGACTGTGACCTAAAGCGAGGCGCAAAAAAACGTGGTTGATGATTAGACTCTTTTGATTGTATTTAGCTTGATTGCGGGCATAAACTCACCTAGGTGATTGTAAAGGCGCGAAAGATTGGTAAAAATATGAGCTGTTTGCAGGAGCGCATAAATTCTTCCATCGCGCGGTGAATTTGAGATAATTGTGAAGAGATAAGCGCGGGGTGTTGAGTCCGCATCAACTTAGAGGCGAGCTATAAGGCAAATTCATTAGGCAATAGGAGTATTCAAGGGACGGCGAGAAAACATCATTTGTTGAGAAATGAAACGACCGCATAGGAGGGTATGGCAGGAATTGTCCTTCGGCTGTCTTATATTTTGAAATCCCCTTAAAGTTCGCAGTATTTGGGAGTTATCACTAGGTCTGGCGTGAATCTAGAATGCTAATGGAGGTATTATTTTTAGACGTTCGGATTCAGGAATAACTTAAATCATCTCAGTTTCATTACACATTTTTCCAAACATATTGATGAAAATAGTCTTCAAATAAAGAAAAGCTAGAATATAAGCTATATACTGCGAAAAAAGTGAATTTATCCATCAAAGAATAGTTAACTTTGTAACCTAGCTACAATTTATTCAGTTTCTTCATGTGTTATAGGCTGGAAAGCTTAATATTTAATTTAACACAAGTTAATTAGGGTATTTTCAGAAAGAATAGACGCTTAAGCAACAAAATATCAATGGCCTAATGATTGTCTCCTCCATAGTCGTCCATAAGACGTCGAGATCGGAACACGTTTGTATACTTGTGAAATAGCGACAAAAAATTGTGATTATGAAGTCTCGTCTGAGAACGATGGACATTTTATCATTTCTCTGACAATTAACTTTTTTCAAATCTTTCATGCCTTATTAATGTTTCATGCATCACTTAAGCGACATTAAAGTAAGTACTGTATACGTGAGCTATCTGTTTTTAATCTCTGCAAGGAATATCAAATAGCTACACCTTGAGCCCTCCTAACAGGTATAACCAGCACCTTATTTCTGATTCCCCAATCAATCATTTTCAAAACCTAGTGGTTTCAGCTGTGTTGAAATAAAATCGTGAAATTTTCTAAAGGTTATCTTTTAATCAACTTGGTCTTTAAAGTTAATTCGATTAGAAAATACCATAAAAGAAGCAACGTATCTTTGAGATAACAAAGCGTTCCTCAAAATTTCTACTCATCCCTTCGCTTTCATGCTTATTATCCATAGCTCTCCTAGTATTTCTGAAATGTTCTAAGACAAAGAAAAACTGTTTACTGAAGTTGTTTTAGTGCATGTATTAGACTTAGGAACCCTTAACTGTATCTATATTCTCTCCGAATTTTAGAATAGTTTAAAACGCTAATGTGGGATCAAAGTTAGAGCCTATAAATACTTTATAAAAAATGGCACAATTAAATTTCCTTCGACAGAATTGAAAGTCCAAATACAAGATTTATTTGTTGGAAGTTTTATCTTTTGGGATAGTTACTCTGGCAATGACCAATGGCATTCTAATACTAAATTTGTAAAAGTGGTCAAGACACCTGGATACGCATTGCCTTAAAAACAATTATAAATGGCCCATTTTTATTTGCATTTATTGCCCCACTTTGTAAATCAGGCTGCTTCAGAGTTTATTCATTTATTTATATTTATTTATATCAAATGGCAGGCTTTATGATAGTTATCATTAGCCCTTTAGTTGACTTCAGGCTTCACAGAGGAAGAGGAACATCAAATCGAAAAAAGTCAAGGGGGTGAACAGAAGAATGTTTAAAGATGTTAAAAAGACAGAGAAAAGGTAGGATAAGTATGGTAGAAGTGATTGAATATGACATACAGTAGGGTCATGGTAGTTTGAAGTCAGAAGTCACCTGCCGATAAATAGACTTTTTTGCCGCATGAGTATACGTTGCCCAGGGTGCACCACGTGGAGGTAAGTCTATCGCACACCCCGAGTTTATTCATTGTGTGCCAATAATATTTATAATGAAATCAACACAGCCCAACAAACGTAATTTATTGCTCCTTTTTTTCTGATAATTTATTATAAAATGCATGTGATTTTCCGATTTGTCTGAGAAGTTAATTAAATAAATTAGTTTGTAAGTCTAGCTGAAGTTTAAGTCCCCTTGGAACTCAGAGATAAAATAACATCTACTGTTTTGTATAAATAGACTTTAAAGAATTTTATTACGTCCTTTAGCAATCATTTATAAAATTTTGCCAAATTACCTATTTTAACAAGACAAACCTGAATTGCCTTTATTTTACAGTGAATTTAGCTAAAAGATGATTTTAGCTTTATTAATAAACTGTCGTGCATTTCTATGATTATGTACTGCCGCTCAAATGAGTACAATTTTGAGACAAAAAACTGCAAATGTTGCAAAAGCGAAACTTCAAACAAAACTCTTTTTTGAAACGATTTTAGCTAGCATTAAATTGTTAATTTATAAATGATTATAATAACACTATAAAATACCGTGTTACAATAAGTCGTTAATTAGTTCGAAATTTATTATCAGAAAAGCTTGCTTACGGGGAGACAATGGTCTAAATACCTCTTAATAGTGAGTTTTTTATTAAAATACTAATTTCGCCTTTAAGTAATTTCGTCACACAAGCTTTACTTCTAAATACACATAAGCTCGCAGTGGCGTGACTCAATTTAAAAGAAAAAGTCATTGTACTGTAAAACCTTGAAGCAACACAGCTAATACTTGTTTTCCAATACTAGCAATAAATATGGGTTGTCTTCCGATTTGTTCTAACACCTTTTATGTGATTGAAAATTGCATAAATCTAAGGCATACTTTTATATTTACAGATGATTGAACTAGTAGTGGAGGATGTCCCGAGTAGAGGAAATTGGTTAGGATCGTCTGGAAGTGGAAAAGGAGGTCTAAACGGTGGCTCGCACACAAACCCCTCTCGTCTTGAAGCAAAGAACATTCTCATCGTCATTGTCCTTTCAACCGTGTCAGCATTCCTAGCAGCTGTTCTCATCTCCGCCATTCTATGCATGGTCAGACCTTTTCATAAAGCCGGAAGAGGACGTCGTGGAAACGGTCATGGAAATAGTAATATGGGCGGAGGCATTAGCGGGGGTGGGACTCTTAAACTACCTCCGTTCGCTATGGAACCTCATACAAGTCCTGCATTGCTCATGCATCCTGGCGGAACGCTGTCTTGTTCGGATTCTGCAACCTTGGACGGCTGTTCAGCTGTTGGAGATGGAACGTGGATTGTTGGAACTAATGGAACTCTAATCAGTGCATATGATGGAAGCGAATTGAAGAGTGGGACTTTCCGACTGCATACCGATGGAACGGTAAGTTGAAAATTTTATTTTTGTAAAACTCAGTTTACTTTCAATTACATTTTCAAAATACGAGATAGGTTTATTAGGTCTGATGAATGAACCTAGAAACTAGTCCTTATTGAGATCGGGATTGCTTGCAGATCAAATATTTAACTATTTTCCAATCAAACTAAAATATACATCTTGGTTTAGTCTACCTCTACAGAGCTTTTCATAGTCTAGGAATGATTCTTAACGCGAGAAAGGTCAATTACCACTGATAATGAAGACAAAAGTTTTCACATTTTACCTATAAAAGTTCAAAGCGTATGATTTCTAAAGAGTATATGAAGGTTCCCCATAAGTTCTAGTAGTAATAGTGTAGCTTGTTCGCTTAAACATAGGTTTGAACTGGCTCTTCACCTATATTCAGGACAATGACCATTAAAGCTCAATCTCTGATCTCTGCAAACGTAATTCCAGGTAAATAAATTTAGATTTTCTACCTCAAATTAATAATCAGTGGATATTATGGGAAAGAATTTGATTTGGAATCTAAGTCAGAATTCTCATTTCTCATTTAAGCTGCTTTCCTACAACGTAAAAATATGCGATTTTTTTCTGAATTGCTGTGATGCTTATGATAATATAAGTACCACAACCATTTTAGGCAGAAATATGCAATCCTTTGAGGCCAACAAAGGAAGTCGGATAATAGGACTTCTGAATTTATGCATTTTTTTAGCTTTTGTTTAATTTTCATTTCAGTCATTGCTTTATGAACGTTTATTTTATTTCAAATTTCATTGATTACTTCATTACCACAAAAGCTTTATTATTTACCAAATTTGGTCAATTTGTTTAATAAATTCAAAGTTACTTGCACAAGTTTCTAGTGTTTGCAAATAAAATGAAATTATTAACTCCATCTTAACTGTTCAAAACATTGCAAGACTATTTCGATCGTTCTTTCTTCAACCCGAATTTCTACCTCATTTCAGTCAGAATTTAAAATACGTTGTGCAGCGTTTTCAAATTTTAAAAATCACTGGTATGAAGCAAAAGAATAACGAAATAAAATCATTTTTTCCAACCGGGTAAAAGCCTAAAATCATGTTTTATACACTAGAGAATTGATATTTCCCCAACTTTCCAGGTTATTCACGTTCGTTTTAGTCTCTCTAACTAACTGCAAAAAAATCTTTTTCCGCTTACCGTATCACGAGTTATTGCGTTCAACTTATAAATGACAAGGCAACGAGAAATTGTCTTTCCTCGTCTTATTTCAACCCCAGTTTAAATTCAAGTAGAGAGAAAATGTTCTCAAAAATTTCATGATTCAGTTGATGCCAATTTCCCATCACAGTTATAATGCTAATTAATGGGTCAATTTTGTTAAAGCTCGTAAAATAGATGAATTGGAATGGAAGAATAATAGGTTTTTAATATTGGACTTAAAGAAGGAAGGTGGATAAAAAAAGATATGTGACAACAGAGACTTGGAAAAGGTAGTAATCCACTTATAACTACAAACCTGAAATCTTTAGGCAAAGTGGAATGTAGCTTTTGACGGTTGGATAATAATTGCGTTGAATGTCTTTGTCAAAGACGAAAACAACCATTTTCGATGCCTTGCATCTTTAAAATTAAAAATAGCATGTATTTTGCAAGTGACCAGCCGACTGTATCAGTGTGCTTTAAGTTACTACAGCCTATGTTTTGTATGACTCTGTAAACAAAGTCCACCAGAAAAGCTCTTTCCTCGAATTTCAATATTTTAGCGCTTTCTCGCATTGAATCTTTCTTTAGCACGAAATTTATTTCATATATATATATTATGGATCAAAGACCCCTTATTTAGATACTTTCATTCTTCCTCCGGATATAAAATGCTTTCCGGTTTTAATCGTTCATTCTTTTTTATGCACTATTAATGGCTGACTTGCAGAAATGCATCTCTGCAGGAAAGTGTTTATGCAATGAGAGCAAGCCTAATGAAGCGTGAATATCGTCATTGCTATTATATGTGAAGGTGTTTGGGGAATAAGTTAAAGACCTTGAAGAACCCATAAACTACTGCTTTTCCCTAGTTTAGCGTCTTAAACTAATTCTATGAGAAGTATTCACAGCTTTTATGGACAGTTATGGTAATGCTTTTTGAAAGTCCGCTGGATGAGACACTGGTCATGAGTACCATGTCATTGGCTTGCAAATTCCATGTCAATCGAAGAAAAGCTGACGGTGAGGGAGAGGTGCCGGAATGTTAGTCTCCTTTAAATGTCTTTAAAAAATACCTGAGTCTGAAATTTCAAGCATTAGTACGACGTAATTAATAGTATCCATTTCTACTGCCCTACTGGGGAAGTCGGTTTGAGTTCTTCCAGATTTATACGCACTGAGAGTCATTTCAAGTGTGCATTTGTTGACTTACCAAGAGTTAATTTCATTTGCTCTCTTTCGAGAAACAGCGTGGCAGACAAAAATAAAAATTGCTTGCCTTAAACCGCGTGGTTTTGAAATTAGTTTTTAAGCAATATTTTTTTCTAAAGAGCAAAACTTACTCACATAGACAAGTTTGAAGTGAAATATTACATCTTATATATCACAGGAGATATCAATTAATGATCTAAATCTTAAAATTATATTATAACACAATTAGACAATGAACATATCAATCGAAATTGATGAAATTTAGGCATGGAAGAGCATAATACTGCTTCGTAATCCATGACGATCTCCAATCATATTGATGTAAGCTCTATGAGAAAAAGGTTGCTGATAACGAGTCATCCGAAAGCAAACTGTAGGTAGACCAGATAAATTTAGTTGTATAACTTGTTATGGTTGCAAATGAATAGATTAAAAAATGTATTTTTATTGCTATTTAGTCATTTGAAATTAATGTTAAGTCATATTAAAGCCAATTCCAATACCACTCGGAGTTACTTTCTGTTTTATATGAAAGAGCTCCACCTTAAAAGCCGGAAATTTTGCACTCATAAAAGACGGGATGGGCAGAGGGGTGAGGGGAGGGGGGTGGGAGGGGAATCAATTTCGTCTGTTTCATTGTTCAAATTTCAGGCAAATACGCAGAAATTTTAGCCTCCTTCTGCACACGCCCCATGAATAAATCAAGAGACTCTCCCTTACGACCAAGCTGAAAAAATTTAATTAAGTAAATAAAAACCCACACATCCGTGCGCATCGAGATTTAATCTTAATCTCCCAGCAAAAAAGAGAAGCAAATATTTCTGTCTCTATCCAAATGCATACCAGAATTAATTATCGTACTACTTAATAGGCCGAAGTGGAGAAATTTGAGCGGACGTAATTGGCTGCGATGTTAATCTTGATTAGCAAAGCAAGACCTAGTTCTGATTGCCTCGTTTCAACCACCATATCTACAATAGGAAGCACATTGTCTAACTCCTCCATTAACTTGCCTATTTTTTTTTAATTTGGCAGTTCCGTATCAAAGAGCACCCTATGTATCATGTGGCTAGCCCTTCTAATGGTCCCGCAATAATATTCGGGGGGGGAGGCATCTATTCAGTTGCGAATTTGGATTTGATTTTAGGAAAAGCAAAGAAAATAGGCCTATCAGACTTTCTTTACAGTACGTTTATACAAGAGAGTCCATTTGGAACATTTTTAGTGAGGGAGGGGGGGGGGGGGGGGGGATAAGAAGCATTTAGTTTCGATACTTGCACCTTAGAAAGTATGGCCTCAGTAATGCACTGAATATTTTTTTAGCTAAATTTGGGGCGAAATCATTGCATGCATTGTCCTATGACTGGTCGGAATTGACTTCATAAAGTGTGCGGCCTTAGACATACTTATATTACTCGTCTTTGCTTGTACTTACACATTGCATATAGACCACTAGGTTGATATAGTTGAAAGCCTGTAAGTTTAAATAGACAATGAGCGAAATCATCAATATTAATTGTTAATTCTTAGGGACAAATCTGGAGTCCAATGCGAATGACGTCAAGTGATTGCGCATTCGAAACTGAGAGTCTCATTCCCCTCAGTTTTCCTCCAGATGCTGCTGGAAATCCGGTGGTATCAGGAGGAACGTTGCAGCGTGGTCAGCATTTCTTACTTCAGCAGTCGCCGCCTCCCGGGTGCACTATTTCACGTGGTGCGGCTGTTGAAATGGTTACAGTGCCATGTGGCGGGCAAGATGAACAACGATCAGATAGTGGACGAGGTGCAAGTGATGAAGAGGCGATCTTCCAAGGTCCTTTCCAGCCCATCCTCTATGGAATTCCTGTCGCTTCTACAACAGTGAATGTTTCTGGATCAGCAGCTTTAGCTCATAATCATACAAGTAATTTGTGTTGCACGTAATATATTTAAAAAATTTGCGAAGTTAGCATTCTTAGATTTTTTCTAAAGTAGCGCCATATGCATAGATTATGAAGTTATCGTGTAGTGGGTAATTTGATACGTTAAAACAATTTGAAGGTGATCGGAAGGCCATTGCTAAAAGCAGAATGCTAAACAGCATGCTACTGTGTCTACTCCAAGAATAGGTTAAATTGCATTGGGATATGCTATATGTAGATCCTTAATAATAAGTGGGGTGGAGTGGATTATTTTTTTAAATTTGTGCTTATACTGATTGGGCGTTTTTAAAAAATGATTGTATTATCAACAGATGACAAAAATATTGTCACAGATAAATGCCATTAAACCAGATAGTGTGGGATTAAACTGCGCAATTAGAAAATGGCGTGGAAGCGGATATCATTGCCTCACTCCTGTGCTTCATTTTGTAGTATAACTGGAACACATACCGATGAGAAAAAAATTAAATTGGGATTTTCACGATTGCCAGTTTTTTTAGTATTTTAATGAAGGCGAAAAAAGTGCAAATTTTGTTTGCTGACTCATCATTTATCTAGAATAAATTTAATTAATTCTGCTAAATATTTCATGTTGCACCCTATGAAAAAGGGATATATCAATGGTAAGCAGTAGAAAGTGAAATTTTTTGTTAAATTTCGAAAAAAATTTAATTTCCTCCCTCTCTGTAATCAAATTGTAAAATGATTAATTTTAAAAGTGTGCATTTTAACAAACTGTAAAATTCAAACACATTTTGTAACGTCTCTACTTATTGTTAGAGTTCGTTTCATCATTGATTAAATAGGTTTCGAGGTAAGTGGGCAACGTTGACAACATTGCAAGTGTAATTCCAAAATCCCTGTAAATGCACATTCCTATTTGTATCCGAAGTGAATGAATCATTCAGGGCTTTCAGTGACCGTTTGATATTCTTTCAAACACGATTTTAAAGAGAATAGGTGGGTCACTAGGGCCTAAATTTTTCATCCATTTTAAAAATTCACTAATGTCAATAGTGCATCACCGCTGAAGCCTCTGACAATTTTAAAACCCTTTATCTTGGTAGTTTAATTAATTAAACAGCAAACCAAAGATGATTTATGAGTGCAGCTAAATCTTTTTTATCTGTTTTAGGCTTTACTGGACCCATTCCTGATGGAAAAAACAAAACGCCTGTAACTACCGCAAGTGGTATCTACTTATGCGCGAGCTCTTTAGCTGGTCAGACAGCAACTTCAGGAGCTGCAGGTGCAGGATCTAACGAGGCTCCAACTCGATCCGTTTCCACTTTCGTTACAGCCATGGAGAACGAGACATCTAGTCTACCTCGTGGTGAAGTTGTTCCACCCTTCACTGGTAATATCAACAAGACCTTTAGCTTACCACGAGAAGGTTTATGCATGACAAAGAGTCTGCTGGATGACCACACTGTGGATGAAAGCGCCAACAGTTTATGCCAAGAGATTGATCACCTTCTCTTTGACAATATGATCTAGCTCTCATTAGTAATCCATCTCCCTCACTGCCTCTCGTTTCCTATCTACTGCATTCCATCAATATTCCCCTTGCCCTCCTCCCTTCCACCACACCTCCTGCCAATCGTGATCTCAAGATGGAATAAGACCCATCATGCTTTAACCCACTTTATGCAAAATATCTGTTCGATAACGTTCTTTCTCATATATGTTGGGAGTGTCACGGGATGAAATGCAACCGATCCCGAATTGGCACCCACCAATCTCCTCTATATATGCTATCATTCCTTCTTTGATGATCTGAATGCACGCAGTTGTAGATATTTTAATTCCATAAGTGTGTGTGTGTGTATAAACTTAGGTAATCGAATGACGAATTGCGTTTTTCTTGTCATTTTATCTTAAGTGAATTTTCATATTTCTTAGCCGAGCATTTTTTCTGCCCCATACAGTACGGGAGCATTATTTTATGACACTGAACGAGATAAGGGATGGATAAACGCAAATGATTATGGTAGTTTTATTCGTTACCATGGTATCTAAAATACAGCAATAACGTCAGTTGTCTTAACTGGTTAACTCACCAGTGGGGGAAAAGAGAGAGAGGGAGAGAGCAAAATGTTAAATGCCATTAAGAAATTGAGCTATAAAGTTTTAATATCCCCCAAAAATAAAACAAATGCCTCCAAAAATTGAGCTTGCTCACTCGGATGACCTACAAAAAAAGGAAATTCTTTGCTGAAATTTCAAGGTGTATCTAAAATCTTAAGTCATGGAAGGTAAAAGTGAGCTTGAAATTTACAAATTTTAGCCCAATCGATGACTCAAAATAAATTTTCCCATTTTTTTTTTAAATGCTGCTCGGAAACCTCGTTGGACGAAAATCATTCCCAATTTAATAATGATTAACCAATGAAAACCTTTGTCTTGAGTAATTGAATTAATTTATTCAAATAGTAGATTGGAAAACTCATTCGATCTTGATTATTTTTCTGCATAAAAATTATTGAACTCAATTGATTAACAAATTTGTAGTAATGACGTAAATGGCTATATAAAAAAGCACATTCATACGCTCACCTTGGGCCGTGACGCAGTATCTGGTGTGAGACTTGAATTCTCGTTGCACCTTTATTATCCCGTGCTCTTGGCCTTCCAACTCATCATGTGTGGGAAGTGACAACTTATTAATTTCTTCTGAGATGAATAACGAGCATGATAATCACTACTTCAAGAGTGCAATATTATATTCAGTACTCCATAGATAACATAAGTGAGAAAAAACTAACTCAACCAATCTAATTGTCTCTACTGTGAAATGGACCACAGAAAGATAGAATTTGCATGAAGCATATGTCATAGAGAGTTGAATAAATGAAATTAATCTCCACCTTAGCTGTTATTCTGCATGCTAGTAAAGTGAAATGATTAAAGAGGAGATAGAAAGAGAGGTGGCGTTAATAACTTTGTCATAAAAGTTTGGGTCACTAATTTATACTGTAAATAAATTTTCATTTAGCCTTGATTCAATTCTATTCCCATTGTGACCATTTTGCAGATGTTTGTGGTTCATACCTGTAACAATGATATTCCAGACGTTATAAGAACGGCAAAATTACACTATTGAGTTAATGTTCTCACTTGCAATGAAAATTACGCTTTATTAATTAATGTATTTGGACTTTATTTAACTACACTACTCACAATTAAAATGAGAGAAGCTGAATTGGCAAATATAATCCAATTTTACATATATACTGTAATAGAGCTTGTCTAGTGCATTGGCCAATTGGATGATTTCCAGGCCACAAGTATTAACTATAAGGCTAACAAGATGAAATTCAACAGCAATGCAGAAAGAGAAGGTCAAAATGAAAGAGCGTTTTTGCATACTAGACAACCTAAGAAAAATCAGTGTCAGTGAAGACAGAATTTTGTTGATGATTAAGAAATATATTCAAGAGGATTGATTAAATTTTTTGGAATTCGTTTGACCTAATATCAATTATGAAATTTCTTATGAGACATAATGGGATAATTTAGGTAAACTCATATGTTAATTTCGTGTGCGCTAAACTATCAATCCGCGTAGATTTGGATATCTAAGACCCTTAGAGGTCAGGTTTGGTCATATAGTTAGCCAACCAAATATCACGTATCGAATCCCTCATAAATTAATTTGGTTTCTTAATGAAAGGACCCTTATTCGAATTAAAAGTTTTTGACATTGTCCTTAATGGAAAAGCGTATTATCTTTATCGAAATGTGATTGAACATAATAAGTCCTCTCTTTCCAAATGGATACTATAATTTTCAAATAACATTATCCAACCATAGTTAACAGTTATATGTATCGCCAATTGATTGATCAGAGTAATTAAATTAATGAAAACCTAAAATGATTGGAGATTAGATTAAAGCTTTACTTTAACTAACAGTTAATTTTTAAGCCTTCAGTTAATTTATTATTTCCAAGTTTGTCCCACTACGAAAGTTCAACAAAATTCACTAAACCTGGACTGGTTTCGTTTTTTCGCGAGTAGGTAAATTGGAAAATCCAAACGGATGCCGTTTATTATGATTTCCTCTAATCTGTTTCAAATTTCCTTAGCGATTCAAGTGCGTGCAACATTTATTTAGCAAAAGAAGAATAAGCTACTTTAAATTTGTGAAGCCTAAATAAGCATTTTCGGTTCTCTAATTTAAAGGCTAATTTAATGAGAGGTGATGCAGTTATTAACTGTGGTACTCAAATAAATCCCTTCAAGAGTTTGAAATTGAAGACTCGAACCGATTCGAATAATCTAATTCAGCCCTTAGTTCAAACCTATCTATGGTTTGAAAAGGGAGAATTGGAGTGTTAAAGGTTGAGTAAAAGAAAATTCGCCGTTAATGCTCATGTTATTAGTATTTTAGAATTAAAGGATATAAAAATTCACAAATAATAATCATTTATTTTTTAGTACCACATGCGTAAGGGTACGACTTTTCAACTAACTTTAAAGACAACTATTGCCCTAAAAGTGGAGAAATCCAGGGTTTTTATCAGTTATTTTTATTTTAAAACCTTGAATATATCCACCACTATTCTATTTTTAGTCATACACTCACAATTATAGTGCTTCCCATTTAACCAAAATATTTATTTGAATTTCATGAGGCTTAATGAATCTCAGTGCTTTAGGCTTAAATGCATCAAAAGACTACGTACAGTCAATAATAAATTTTACCAATGCGTCAAGTAAAATTTTCTCACAAACGGTGTGACAAATCATTCAATGTCGACAGCCTGGTTTATAAACTGAAAATAGTGCTGTTAAAATAGAGAAAAAAACAAGTTTAAAGTTGTATGTTAAACCAACAAGTGGTGAATTAGACTCGTATAGGTAAAAAGAGAATAATCAATGAAATAAAATGGGAGCGTTAATGACCCAACTTTATACCCATAACTTGATTCATATCATCCACTATTGCTAGCAGTAATTTAGTTGTCCTATATAGGTGAAACACCATTTATGCTATCAAACGTATATATTAATAAAATTAATACTTCAAACAGAAATCATTCTACTAGTATAAAATTCTATTTTAAAAATCTACCGAAGCAGTAAATACAGACAGCGGAAGTCACTATGGCAACGTTATCCAGTAATTGTGTAAATTCCTACCAATAATACAATGAAGAATGCTTTTTTGTAAGTTCGCAAATATTAAACTTAAATTTTCTCCTCAAATAATTGATGTTGTGTTCGTACTAAGCCTGACAGTTGTTTCCTAAACTACAATATTAGGAAATCGGCAAGTTTTAAGTTTTTTGCAACAATAATGGTTAATTGGACATTATCTATTTCAAACATAAACTCATATAACATTGAATCGTGAGTCAAAACCTACGAAAGTTAAGTAGAACTAACTAATTTCTGGTTAACACATGGTGCTTTAGGCTTAGCTAAGTGGTCTCAAAAACTGCAGCCTTATAAATTTTGATCATACCCCTTAATTCTTCAAAATCGCAATAACCAATTGCGCATTATGATTTCTAAGACCGACAATGTAAATTCATGCTCTCCCTCATATCCTGAATAGGATAGTTATTTATTTAAAAAACACAGCATTATCCTTCATTTAACTTAAACTTTCTTAAGAGCAACCTCTAAAGCCAAAATTGACGTGAAATAGTCTGTATTTTTGAAATTTCCTTTCGTTCAGCACAAGGACTCTGATTCGTCATTTACACGGTGCTCATTAAATCCGTTTTCTTCCTAATAAATGAGAAACGACTACTTCACTTGTGATTTTGAATTTGATGGTTATAAGCAAAATAGTTATTCAGGATTCTGATAAATCTTGGTAGCCCTGTTTAGCAATAAATGCGTTGTTGAAATGTGTTTGTTGAGTTCAAACAGATTGATTTAAAATCTAATTACCAATGTGGAAATTAGATTCCACCAGAAAGCAGAGTTATAAGCTAACCATAATAGCTTTACTGCGTTGGTGTAAAGACATAATTGTCTTGGCACTATGACTCCAGACTTTTACTGTCAAGTCTAATTTGCTTATCAATAACTTTCCTTCTCAGCCCCCCCCCTTCTCCTGTTGATTAGCTCTCCGATATAAGATAGTTTATTTCAAAAACCAGACATGCTAATGAAATAGTGTTTTATTTTTGCTGCGAAAGAGACGGCATGCACCACTCACTCTATCGCGCCCTAAATCAATTTGACAACATCTGTGTTCAATGACTTGTCTGAATTTATTGCTTTGAGGCAGAAAAGATGCGAATTTCGTTTGCCAGTTATGCTTAATTTTGCGTCTTTCTCAGTGTCGTGTGTGTGTGTGTGGTTGCAAATAATAAATGATGGGATTATGTGACTGAGAGGCAAAGGAAAAGAAAGATTAACTCACTGGAAGGGGAGAATGTGAACGAAAAGGGGAGAAGAGGATAAGAGATAATTACAAAGTAGGAACTCAACAAAATAAATTTTTGGATACGGTGTCTTATGCCTGAGATCAGATTTCAA